AACCACATGCTTCTCAAGGCCCTGGGGTGGGCCCCTGGCACTGCATCGGCCCCCAGGCACCACCGAATGCACAGGGCCCCACAAAACTTTGAAAAAAGACAATAAAGATGGATAAATTCTTCAGTTTGTGGCCAGGTGGGGCCTGGGGTTGTGGAGCCTGTGTGAAGCTGTGAGTTCCATCCCCAGCACCCTGCTCATGCTGGCACACACCCCTGCACCTGTGACAAGTGAAGGGAGGGAGAGGGAGATGCTGCAGATCCGACTCTGCTGACAGTCTGGCCAGGAGGACAGTGTCCATCCAGCCCACTGTGCCCCTCTGCCTGCCCTCCTGGGGCCCTAAGTCGTATGCTGGACATGCCCTGAGCTGTGACACGGACGGATGCCATAGGCCCTGCCATCTGGTGAGGAGAGGGGTTTGCTTGCATCTCCTGGCGGACCCAGGCCCTCCCCGACAGTTTGTTTGTTTGCCGTGAGCAATGTCCTTCCCACTGGGGCAGGCCACATTACCAATAGGGCTGCCCAGAGATCCGTTTTCCTTGACTCCGGGAGGGATGCAGAGGCGTTGAAGTGGCTCATGGTGGTGGTTTCTTCATCCAGCGCCCTTTGGCTTCTAGCTCTCAAGTCAGAACCCTGCTTCACACTGCTCCACAGTAAATATGGGTGTTGCTTTGGGAACACTCTCCCCCTGGGGCCCAAAACTGTGGATGCCATTAGCTGTGCCCCTGTGCTTCTGACTCAGATGGAACACCCCTCTCCAGTCTTAGCCTTACCCCCTGCTGCTCCCCTCTAGGCAACTTTTCAGAAGCTCCGCCTTAACTGAGACAGCGGGGGAAGGGGCCAGGAAGCAGCTCCGTGGGACCTGGCATGCTCAGTCTATATGAGAGCCTACATCTATCTCCAGCAAGCCCCAGAATACAGCGGGTGTCTCGGGGGACAGTGAGGGGAGAGCTGGGAGAACTGAACAGGCTGATGATGAAATAAAATTGACAAATAGGAGATTGGTGGTGGGGAATGTGCACTGGTGGAGGGATGGGTGTTTGAACATTGTATGATTGTAATTCAAACATGAAAGCTTGTAACTGTATCTCACGATGGATTCAATAAAATAAAATTTTAAAAAATTGACAAATAAAAAGGTATCACAGGTTCTCAGGAAAGAACGGTAGTGACGGGTCAACGGTCTGGAAAGACAGAGTGCCAGTAGGGGAGTCATAGAAAATCTTTGGGGATGAGATTTTAAAGCAGGGCCAGCAGCCCCCTTCTTGGTTTTTGGCTTCTCCAAGAGAACCGAGGGAGAGAAACGTCTTCTCTGGAGGAGCACGCATGCATGCACATGGGCCTTTTCTGCAGGGGTCAGTCAGAAAGTAGGATTTTACTTCAGCGTTGCCCAGGCCTCTCTCTGTGCTTACGGTCAGGTGCAGGTTTCCACTGGCCAGGGGCTATGATGTCACTCTCAAGAGCCACCTGAATTTCCCCAGTATCCCTATGACCCTATCCCCCTCCTGCTCCACTGGCTGGCCCTTCTTGTCTATCAAGCTCTCTGCTGGGCTCCAGCTTTTGCTGCAGCAGTTTTTCCCACAGACCCAGGCCACTCTAGGGCTCCTCCTTGATGCAGTTGTCACTGCTGTGGCAGATTCACCAGATAGCATGGTTCGCCGTCCTGGAAAATTGGATAATTCTGTGTAATTTCTCCTGGCATTCAGTTACAAGAAGAACATTTGGGGGAAAAGGAAAGGTCCTCATGGGTCCAGGAAGCCTTTAGTGGAAACACAGCCACAGGGGGAAGCAGGAAGCCCAACTAGACACCAGGGAGGCGTTACCAAGTGCAGGAGTGAGTCGGAGGGTGTGGGCAGCTGCGTTCCCATGGCACTCGGTAACACCCGGTCTGCTGGGATTGACTCATTGTGGCTGCAGTCTCCTGGAGGAACTTCTCCATCGCATTCACTCCTGGGGTCCAGATTGCCGACACGTGGGAGTAATTTGGGAGTGCCTGCTAAGTGCCAGAGCTGTGCTGGGTCTGATTATCATGTCACTTCCAACAGTGACCAGACCCAAATGTAGACACCATTCCCCACCTTACAGCCCAGTACCTATGATGGCAGGTGCAGCCTGTCCCCAGACATGCGCCTGTACCTCTTGGCCTCCCTAAATGTGGAGGATGAATCCTCACCCCAGACTTGGGATGTGATTGGTATCTGAACTCATGTGGGCCGTGGCGGGGGGTGGTAGGGAGGGCTCAGTTCTGCTCGGTTGAGAGGAAAGGCCTGTCTTGGTGGCCTGACTTCAGCTTAGTCAGACAATGAGCTGCAAGGTTGGGCCAGTATTGGGTGAGTGGCCAGTCCCGTTTCGGTGGCAGGCCCTGTCAGGGCCACACCTGACAGGAAAATGTGTGGCCGTGAAACTGCAGGCTTCCTGTGCACAGCTTTCCCGGAATCCTCCATGAGTGATGATGGCTTTGACATCTTTTCCGGTAGGGTTTGTACACTGAGAACATCATTGTTTTGAACATGCATCTTGGACACGGTTTGTGTTCTGACTTTACTAGGGAACTGAGCTGTGGCTCTGCACTTATTTTATAAGGGGCACAAGTTTTCAGTCACTCACAGCCCAGGTGATACACAGTCACTCACAGCAGTGATACACAGTCAGGCACTCATGGCCCAAGTGTGCAGTGATATATGGACAGACACTCATGGCTCAGGTGTCCAGTGATACACAATCAGGACTCATGGCCCAGGTGTGCAGTGATAGACATTCATGGCCCAGGTGTGCAGTGATAGACATAGCCCAGGTGTGCAGTGATAGATAGGCACTCATGGCCCAGATGTGCAGTGATACAAGGACAGACACTCCCGGCCAGGTGTGCAGTGATACAGAGACTGGCAATCATGCCCAGGTATGCAGTGATAGACAGACAGACAGATAGACACTCTCAGCCCAGGTGTTCAGTGATACATGGACAAATACTCCCAGCCAGGTGTGCAGTGATACCTGGACAGACACTCACGGCCCAGTGTTCAGTGCTACACAGCCCGGTGCAGACTCCGGGCCCAGGTGGCTGCTGGATCACTGATATCAGGCTCTCACTCAGTCAGGTGTTGTACATACCCCTTGAAAGTCAAGAAGAGACATTGCCACCTGCTTCTCCACGTGGGCCAGTCTGCCTCCCTTCTCTTGCTTGCTTGTCCCCAGCAAATGGCCGGTTCTCTTTGGAAACAGTTACATCATCCTGGGAGCACTTTGAGGAGAATCTTACCCAGTGAGACGAAAGTTTCCTCAGGTCAGGAGCTGGGTCTCCATCTCCCCGGTTGTACCTGAGTACCTGGTGCCACTCCTCGTGTGTCATCAGCATGGCCGGTACCCCATGGAAGCCCATTGTCTTTTCTCATTCTCGGGTCCAGCATTCACAGAGTAGACCTGCTGTGGGGAGCAGCGATGCCCAGCCAGGGGTTGAGAGCTCTTGAGAGTGGGGGTGAGGCCGGCAGGATAGGAATTGCCTCCACACTGTCAGGCACATGCTCATTTACGGCGGGAGCTCGGAGCAGGGGTCCAGGACAGGAAGTATCTTGGTGAGACCGTGTCAGAACTTGGATGTGCCATGTGGGGGCAGGCCTCGATGGCAGCTCCTTGTCCCATCAGGAACTGTTTTGGGCTCCCTAACTGCTGGATCTCTCACGGGCAGGGCACACTCTTGTTTGGAAGCAGCCATGCAGTGGGGAGGGAAGGTCCAACTCATTCTCATGCAGCTTATTCTCAGGCAAATCCAGTCTGGAGGATGGGAGAACTTGGCAGCTGTGAGGGGGGTGATGCTCGGAGAATTGGCCACGTGGTTTGGAGTATCGGACATGTCCTTTGCTGCCTCTCTGTGCCATCCCAAGTGGGTGCACACTTGGTGTGCTTGAGGTTCTCAGGAGATTGGGTCATACAGGCTTGATTGAGGTCCCTCTCCTACTGTGGGGTTCTTACCGCCAGGATTTTGGCCAACTTTAGGGGGCCCCATGCATCAGGTGAGCCGCCAGGGGAGGTTGAATGAGACTTTGCGGGTACGCGTTTATGGCTTAGAGAAAGTCCCAATCAGTAGCATTTGCAGGTCACTTAAGAAAGGGGTAAATAAGAGGTAAATAAGTCCGATTTCTTCACTCTTTCACTGTATCACTGTCATCCTGCTGTTCATCAATTTGCTTGAGCAGGCACTAGTAACGTCTCCATTCATCCCAGCCCTGAGCTTTTAGCAGCCTTTCCTTACTCGTCTTTTGCAATCTGCCATATTGAAGGCTCTTTCAGGGTCAGGGGAATGAGACCTGTTATTGTTACTATTTTTGGCATATCAAATACGCCACAGGTACCTTGCCAGGCTCTGCCGTGCGGGTGGGATACTCTTGGTAACTTGCAGGGATCTCCGAGGTTATATATACATATATATATATATATATATATATATATATATACACACATATATATGCCTACTATCTGAACCCCATCAAATATGTTATGGTAATTATGGAAATGGGTAGGGAGTGTCTTATGATGGATGGTCCAGGTATATGTTCACTCTTATGTGAGGCTCGGCCCAAGCGTGTGGAAAGTGGCTTGGAGCGTGGCAGTGGTTGGGTAGTGGAGGTTGGCTGCCAGGGCTGGGTCCCTTCACTAGGCTGATTTCTTTACCAGGAAAAGAAATGGCTTTGTGCGCCCCCCTCCCCTCCCTCCCCACCCCGTCCCTAGGCACCGCATCCTATGGGAGTCTCCCAGGTAGGGCGCAGGACTGGCATGGACTCTGCTGGTTCTCTGGAGGAATTCCTGTCCCGTCCATCTCTCGGGGTCTGGAAGTTCCCTCTACTGCCAGTCCTTGAGTTCTCTGTCTGAGATGAGATGGTGGCTTGAACCAAGAGGAGGGGAAGAATTGGAGATGACCCAAGCACATCTCTGCAGGGATTGTCATGGTCAGGAGCGGGGAAGCCCAGCGGCCCCGGGTCTCAGCCTCTCCTGCTTTTGTCCCGCAGTACACCAAGGTCTGGATCCCTGACCCTGAGGAGGTGTGGCGCTCGGCCGAGCTGACCAAGGACTACCAGGACGGGGACACGAGCCTGCAGCTGAGCCTGGAAGATGGAACGGTGAGTGCAGCCACCAGGCACCAGCACAGGGGCTTGGCGCTGGGGCTCGACTGTCCTCAGCTACCTGGGGGTCAGCCTGGCTCCCAAAATGTGGCGGGGATTGGGGGTTGAAGGTGACGTAGCAGGAAGAAGGGGCGTTCACCTGTTTTGGATCCTTGCCTGTAGCCCTGGAGCCAGAGTACTCAGGAGATGGCTTCCCTGCGGTGTGTCCTCTCCAGACAGACACTGCCAGACACCTCTGGGTTCCCAGTGAGAAGCACCACCCCTGCTTCGTGGGCTCCCATGCACTGAGCTGACTCTGCCGTATCCTCCTCTGGGATGGCATCTCCGAGGTGGTAGCAGGAGTTGGGGTGAGCTGTAGTTTTGCTCCAGCCGGGCATGTGCTGGAAATGGATTGTGCCTGTGTGGTGCATCCTGGTTGCTGTCTAGACTCCTCCCCTCCCCCCTTGCCTACTGCCAGGCTGATCGGTGTCTGTCCGATTGCACATGGGCTGGACTTCCTCCACATCCAGCTCCGAACCCGAACCCATGTCAACCCCAGCTCAGCCCTGCTATGCACCAGCAGAACCAGGTGGCCGGATCGGAGGCTGCAGGAATTTTCTCTGAAGCAGAATCTGTGCTTGAAGTCGGCCAGGTTGGCTGGTGACCCGGCTCTAAATGCTTTCTCCCCTGCCGCACCCCTGCACCTGTCCCTGAGGACCAAGAGTGTGGCTTCCGCTGCCGTGATGAAGAATAGAACCCACGAATCTCCTCTAGAACCACAGGGATGTTCTTAAACCCTGACTTTCACCAGGACCCACCACTTACAGTCCACACTGCTGGGGCCAGCCTCAAGTGAGAATAAGACATACCGTATCGTGTGCTGTCAAATGAAAAAGTGGGTCGGACAGAAAGTTCAGGGGTTAAGGCACTTTCCTGGCATGCAACCAACTCCAGTTCCATACGCACCACCGCATATGGTCCCCTAGGCACCACTAGGAGTGATCCCGGCACAGAGACCAGGAGTAAGCCTTGACCACCACCAGACATGGCCCCTAAACAAAACAAACATTATTCCGGCAAATTTACTTAAGTGAATTTGACCCTTCTAATCTTTGACAATCAGAACATTCATTATTTTTAAAATATCTGGACTTTGCACCACTCCACAGCCTCTTTCTAGCTGCCAGTGTAAAGAATGGCTTTCTGGCTTTAGGTCCGTGACGTTCTCATCCATCACGGTGAGAATGGTATTGCATAGTGTTCCTTCTGTTCCAGTGGTTGCAGATACAGTGTAACTAGCAAGCAGTTCCAGAACCACAGTGAGAACACATGGAGACAGGAGAAGTCAGACTTTCGACTCAGCCGGGACTTAGTGTTCCATGATGTTTGAATTCTTCTTAGACCCCCAGCCAAGTGAGCAGCCCCTGCCTGTCACAACTAGAGCAGCAGTGACGGGTGGGACAGTCCTAAACACGGGTGTGCTGACTACTCTTTCCTTCCATGCAAGAGTTCTACTGCCAGGTCCCCCGCCCACTCCAAAGCACTGTCTGTCGTCTGTCACTGGCCTGGTGAACCTTAAGGACACAAGCACTTCTCACCCCCGTTTCAGAAACAGCCATGTACCCTGCAAATGTTTGACACAGCAGCAGCATGGTAATCAAATTCCTGGGAAGGCAAAAAAAAAAAATTTTGTTTTCTTCTCTTAAAAAATTTTTTTCCCTTCCATTTTTGTTTTTTATTGAATCATTGTGAATAAAAATCAGTTCTAAAGTTCTCCTCCCCACCCTCCTTGGAGGTACGCAAAACAGGAAATCTGTAGTTTTGAATGCTGAGCTTGCAGCTCCTACGTCTTTTCTGCTGCTCTGGGCTTTTTTTGCCCTTTATCAATTTGACTGTAACCAATACCACTAGTTTATTGGTAGACCCGTGTTTTCTCTAAATTGCATATGTCTTTCCCTGCTGAAGCCTGAGGGTGGGAGAGGGGGAAGCTTTTGCTCTTAGATGGAAGGAATCTCTGCCTGGTTTGAGCATTTCCTGCTCAGTCCTTCCTGGCTTTCTGATCTGAACAATGAGGGGGCTGGGGGGAGAGAAAATATAGTGGGAAAGTCTCTTGCTCTGCATGTGGCAACCTCGGTTTCATCCCTGGCACCATGTATGGTCCCCTTAGCACCTCAAGCACCTGAGCACCGCTGAGTGTGTGGTCCTCAACAACTAGAAAATAAGAAGGGCCGGGCCAGATGAATGCTGTGTCCTGCAGCTGCCCGCCTGCTTGCTCGGTGGGGCTGAGGGCTCAGGAGAGGTAGTGCTGGGTTCCACAACCTGGACTGGGGGTTTTGGGGAAGACTCTGCAGACGATCTGGTTAGAGTCCCAGTGATGACCCATCCCATCCAGAATTTAAGTTTCCCTCGTGTCCCCACACATCTCTCCTTTTGGATATTATATCTGCATCTACATGAGACTTGTGTTATTTGGTCTCTGTGGAGAACGTTCGATAAAAAGGAGCTTTTCCCAGAAAGAGCCTCCGTTAATATAGAAAAAGAAACGAGAAAGGTCCAGCTCTGGGATCTGTGTAGTTGAGGAAGGAGAGCAGCCTCTGAGTGCCTCTGTCCTGGGCGTGCTGTTCCGGACAGCTTCAGTGACAACTTTATAGAAATGGAGTCCTGTTGGATATTTTATAATTTTATTTTTTTAAATTTTTAATTAATTAATTTTGCTTTTTGGGTCACACCTGGCGATGCACACTCAGGGGACCATATGGGATGCTTGGAATTGAACCTGGGTTGGCTGCGTGCAAGGCAAACGCCCTACCCGCTGTGCTATCTCTCCAGCCCTTATTCTGCTTTTTAAAAATTCAGCAGAAAATCTGGGCATCCCTCCCTGACTGTACATACAGGCCTTTGTCATGGTTCACTGAAACTATTTATAGCTCCCGAATCGATGTCTTTTCTGACCTGTAAGTTTCTCTCCTGCGGCTCAAGAGAAGCACATGTCGATGAAACATTCTTCCCTCAGGAAAGACTCTCCCAGCAGTCCAGGGTGGTGGGCCTGGTTGCCCAGAGCAGAGATGCCCAATTTTTTCTGGCCTGCCTCCCCCTTTTTGGGAAAAGAAAAACCACTCAGTATCTCCTGGATATCTGCCTTCTTTAAGTGAACCAGCAGAAAGTGACCCCCCAAGGTCCCCTCCAACTGCCCCTACATGGTTTCAGCACAGGCAGGCAGGGGTGGAGTCTCTGCAGAGAACCCAGGCCAACCCCCTTCCTCTTGGGTCCTGCACTCACGCACTCCCCAACGGCGACACCGTGAGCTTCTTCTCTTTCTGTGCCTCCTGAGTGAAGGCTGAGTTGGGGGGCTCGGGGATGGCTCCATGCAAAGGTGCTGCTTGCTGCGTAGGGCTGTGAATTCATTCCCCTGCGCTGCCCACATGCACCAAGTATAGTCCTGGCTGCTCTGCTGCTTGAGATCCTGGGGCACCGTTTCCTGTGCCTGCAGCCAGGCGAGTACGGACAGGGCAGCAGGAGCACTTGGATAGTGTGGACAGGGCAGCAGGAGCTCATGGACAGGGGGACAGGGCAGCAGGAGTGTGTGGACAGATCCCAAGTGTGTGTACACCCTCTGGTCTTCACAACAACAGCAAAAAAGGCAGGGGTCAGGGAGAAGGGAAATAAAAAAAGAAAAATCAAGAAGCTTGATTAAAAAAAAAATTCAGACCAAGTGGGAGAGTTGTCCCCTTATTTCCTGTTAATTACTGTGTTACATTCAGCGACTTGGTAAAAGGCCTGTGACGTTAAGATTGTTCTTTTGTGTGGTGGAGACCCCCGTCCACTTCCCTGCACTCTGCAGCGCTTCGTCTTGTGACAAACATAGGGGTGTGTTTCTTCAGCTTTCGCGTCAGGCCTTAATGCACTGACACCAGCATTGCGTGTGGTGTTCATTGAACCACTTTCAGGCGTGAGCCCCCAGTGGCATCCACCAGCATTGTCGCACTGAAAGGACTTCCGGAAGGAAAACCAGTGTCTGCCCACATGTTACCAATGCCTCTTTCTTTTTCACATTTCTTCTACCTAAATTTAGTCTTGGTGTGAGGCATGAGGGTAGAACGCTGGTTTGATTTTTTTCCCCCCTAAATGACTGCTAGTTCATCTGCTACTATTATGTGAAAGATTCCTTTTAATCATTTCAATGCTATTGTAATGTTCTCACAGATGTCCTCATGTGTGTTTCCTTGTGTTTCTGGAGCTGCCATTCCCTGCAGATATTCTTCCCAGATTTTTGTTGTTGTTTATTTGTTTTGGGGGGCAGGAGGGGTCATACCTAGTGGTGCTCAGGGGCTACTCTGGCTGCTTGCTTGGGGTTGCTTCTGCAGTGGTGCTCGGGCACTGTGAGGTGCCAGGGCTTGGACATGGGCCTCCTGCGTGTGGAGCCAGTGCCCAGCCTGCTGCCCACCTCTCCGCCCTGTTTGCCTACATTAGCTCCACAACTGTAATGCTTTAATTGTGGCCATTTGTCATATACCTTCAGGTCTAGTAGCACAAGACCCTGAAAATAGGGATAGTGTGATGACAATCCCTTTGCCTTTGTCTGTAAAGTTTTGACACCAAACCATGAGCGGGGAGGGGTCTCTGTGGGGAAAGGAAGATTTGGACTAGAGGTGACTTAAGGACAGGTGGTAAAGGGTCTTGGGCACTGGTAGTGGTGGATGTTGTAACTCTTTACAGCTAAATGCTAACACTGTTGTTTTGTTTGTTTGTTTATTTTAATCCTGGGATTTGGGGTTACAGCCAGTGGTGCTCAGAGCTTACTCCTGGCTCTATGCCCCAGGGTTCACTCCTGATGGTTCTCAGAGGACCATATTGTGATGCTGGAGATTGAAGCAGGGTCAACTGCAATGTGGGCACCTTACCCCCTGTACTCTCTCCCCAACCCCAGTGTTAGCACTGTTGTAACTGTATTACCTAGATGACAGTAAAAATAAATTTTAAAAAGAATAAAAGAAAATTGGAAGAGGAGAGGGCACTGATATTTATATTCTCTTAAAAACTAATATCTCAGCAAATTGAGGCTATGTCTATAAAATATCCTGAAAGATTTGTATCAAATAGTGTTCTCAAAATAGGATCCATAGTTCTCATAATCAAACTACTTGGGCAAGTTCTTTTAGGAAACTGAGAATCCCAAGCCCCTCCCCTGAGCTCCTGAGACATGAACTGTGTTTGGGGAATAATTTTTAGTAGCTCACAGATAATTAAGAAATTTGCAAGAAATAATGCAGGTTAAATGTGGAAAGAGAGCTGCCACGTTCTTGCTTAAACGTTAAACACTACCACCATCGTCTTATTAATTAAGCTGATGCGTTTAAGTCGAAGAGTAGGCAGAATTATAAATGAATCCTGCCAATAAGCATTTTTGAGTAGTTGCATAGTCTCAGTGCTGTGTTAAGAACAGAAGATAACACCTTGCATTTGAGATTTTCCCTGGAGATGTGTAATTATATTTCCTGAACACACACACACAGACATACACACACACACACACACACACACACACACACACACACACATCCTCCAATCTCCTGTTGTAGCCAAGCCAAGGTGAAATGCTTGCCCCAGATGAACTTATATACAGGTAGCTTGTGTGTGTGGGGGGAGGGGGGCGGATGTATGGACAACGTGAAGGCTCTTCTGCAGGATAGTTCATCAGTTCTGAGATCATCCATATAAAATAAGCATGTGTTGGTGGACGGGAAAGCGAGTGGAGAACCACCCACACGAAGTGGGGACAACCAAAGGAGGTTCCTGGCGGGGGGACAGGTCGAGCCCCACGAATGGCCCTGGGAGCAAAGACCCATTGGCGCTCCCCACACTTACTCAGTGGGGCGTGTACTAAATCAGGTTGTGACCCTGCACTTGAGGGCCCCGGGATTGTGGTTAGTGGCACATCTGTCATTTGGTGGGGTACCTTTGGGCCACAGCAGGTGAGTGCAGGAACTATTCCTGGCCCTGTGCTCAGGAGGGACCCTGGCCATGCTTGGACCCCGTTTCTGGTGCCCAGGCTTGAGTGCACCTCAGCGGTATTGCAAGGCAAGCACCTTGCCCCAAGGACTATCTCCCCAGCAACATTTTCTGCTTGGGCTGGGCTTTTCAAACCAGATGTGTGTTTCATTCCATTTCCCTTACTTTGAAATGTGGTTTTCTCATTTACGGACAAGGTAGGACAGTGACCCAAGCCAACGAGACTCGACGTGGAATGCGGGTTTGTAATTGCCATTGCGTGTGACACTCCACATCTCTTCAGGTTCAGGAAATCCCCATTGATGTCCAGAGCAACCAGCTGCCCTTCTTGCGGAACCCAGATATCTTGGTGGGTGAGAATGACCTCACTGCCCTAAGCTATCTTCACGAGCCTGCAGTTCTGCATAATTTGAAGGTCCGGTTCCTGGAGTCCAACCACATCTACACATACTGCGGTAAGTGGGGGGTCAGGGGGATGCATTCCGGCTGCATACACTTGAAGCTTCTTCTATCTGTAGGCTCAGCGTGCTTGACTGTGGCAGCGAAGACCCCCAAGTTCACTCTCATGGCTCAGCAGATGCTGGACAGGTTTGCAGCCAAAGAGTGTGGCTTTGTTAGGCTCTGGCCCACACTGTGGCCTGGTAGGGGCACTCACAGCTCCCAGAGCTGAGGTGGCTGTGCCCCAGACTCAGGTTAGGGGTTGGAGCTTCCCAGGGGCCCTTCCTCTGGTGTCTGAGTCCCCAACCCACACACTCCTGTGAATACACCCCTGCTGTTTCCTCTTGAGAAACAGCTGCCTTTCCCGCTGACCCTCCCATTCCCCCATGCACAAAGCTGGTGCTGGACAAGTATCTTTGAATTCAGGACTGGAGAGATAGTGTGGCAGTTAGGGTGCACGCCTTCCATGTCTCCAACCCAGGTTCGGTTCCCAGCACTGCGTGTCCCCAGGCATTGTTGGGTATAGCCCTGGGGGCACTAGCACCGCCAAGATGCCTGAGGAATCCCTGGGACCACAGCGCCAGAGCAGCACCGGGCTCTTGGGCCTCTGGTTGGCTGGGAATCACTGATGGCATCTTTGGGCCTCCTGATTACTTTTTGGAAGCTACTCCCACACCCCAAAGCCAATCTGTTGAATTCATGGGCAGAAGCTACAGTCAATGATTTAAACTTGGCTTCCTGAATTTCACTCTTTTGCTTTAAAATTTTTTCATCTTAATTGCCCACATTGCAAATTTTGCTGAGTTCCTTCAGAATTCGGGTCTTGTCTGGGATGATGCAGGGGGGAAGGGTCCGAGTGGTCAGAAGCCTTCGAAGCATGTCTCGGGTTTGGAAGCCTTTCCTTAAGACTTCAGTGGAGGTGAGCATTGTGGCTAGGCCTGCAAATTTAGCATGCCAGAGTCCAGCTGGAGAGGGCATTCCCCAGACAACCTCTGCTGAAAGGAATAAAGCCATTAGAGCCTCTTAGAGCCTCCAAAGAGCGCAAAAGTTTTCACTTCTTGTAGAAGATGAAACAAACTCTACTCCCTTTCACGGAGAAAGAGATGAATGGCTCCCGCTTGGCTGTGAAAGAGACTTTTCCTTCAAGAGAGCATCTGCAGGGCTTCCTTAGGGATGCCCCTCTGCCCTCCCACTGTGCTGGCCATCTGCTGAGCCCAGAATTCACAGGCTCCCTCTTTGTTCCACGAGAGCCCAGCCCGTTAGGGAAACACGGGAACTCAGGGCCCGATACCAGAAAAACATGACAAACAACCTCCCACAGTGTCAGGGATCGAGCCCAGGGTCTGAAGCATGCAAGGTGATGTCTCCCATGTTGCCACAGCCTGGCAGAGGGGTCACCCCTAGCTCTCCAATCCCAATGGGCTTCACACCGCTCTCTTGAGTCCAGCTTGGGGTGTGTATGTGTGTGTGTGTGCGTGTGTGTGTGTGTGTGTCTGTCTGTCTGAGTTCACATTCATTCCATTCTCAGCCTTTCCCAAACTCTGGCCTCTTCTGAACTTGTATCCTGTGTCCCCTACCCCCCGGTCCCACTGGTTGGCCGTCCAGTCTCCTCCATTGCCGCCCTCCCCACTTATTGCAGTTTTCACCTGTGGCCCCCTTGGATGATCCTGGGGCCGTCCAGGGGCCATCTGGCTGGTTTAAGGAGCACTGCTCTAACACTGCTCTAGAATATTTGGAGATCTGCCCTGTCAGGGACCAGCCCCAAGTGAACAGACCTGAAGCAGGGGCACTGTGAGGATTAAGAAAAGCGACAGAAATAAAAGAGTAAAAGCTCTTAGCCTCCAGGACAGAGAGCCCCAACTGGCCTCAGCTCAAAGTATTTATTGATTAGAAGCAATAAACATCAGGAGAACTATAAACATTCTTTAGTTGGATTAGACTTTTCCATAGCTGAAGGTGTTGGTAAAATATAAACAGGTTTAGTTAAGCATAAATAGAGACATGGGTTTAAATGAATATAAATAAAAACATAAATATAGCTCTTCCTCTAGGGGAAATTCTTCTTGGAGGTCTGCCCAGGGGCGGCATCCACCTTGGGCTCCAGCGTTCCGGATTCTGGTTCCCAGCACTACCCTGTTATTCTCCACCAGGGCCTGGGACTGGTGTCATGCTAACATGACTGCTTGATTTTGTTGTGTGTTGGCTAAGACTCATCCTTTTCCTCTCTGTCCTGAGATTCAATGCAACCTTAAAATAATTGGTGGCCGGATCAGAGAGAGCACTCCAAGGGCAGAGCCACGCTTTGTATGTGGAGGTCTGAGTTAGATCCCTGAAGATCACTGAGCTTTGCCACGAGCAGCTCTGGAGCACTGAACGGGGAGCAGCCCCGGAGCACCTCTGGGTGTAGTCCCTGACGCAGAGGGAAAGAGAGAAATCAGTGTGCCCTGCTCTGCCTGACGGACGGCCTTGCCTTCCCGCAGGTATCGTGCTTGTTGCCATCAATCCTTACGAACAGTTGCCAATCTACGGACAAGATGTCATCTATGCGTACAGCGGCCAGAACATGGGGGACATGGACCCCCACATCTTTGCTGTGGCGGAAGAGGCCTATAAGCAGATGGCCAGGTAAGAGTGACTGTGGTCTCTGGTCTCTTCACGATTGTTGGGGGCCTCAGGGGAACTCCCGCCTTCCATGACTGCTCCTTTTGGTAGAGATGCTGGAATCGAGGAATGTCCTGGAAACAGATGGGCCCTGTGCTCAGTCTCTGCACAGCACTCCCGGCCTCCCTGTTTTGAGAGACCTATTGCAAGGCTGGGAGAACATCGGCTTGCTACACGGCGCTCCCTCTGGGTCACCGGCCCCTCCCCCGCTCTGACCATCCTTCTCCCCACCAGGGCAGTGGATTCACTTGACATCCCCCATCCATTCATTTCAGGGCTCTCACTAAGAGACCCCTGTAAGAGTGACCAGGACTCTGTAACACTGAATCTAATGGTCTGGAAGTGAGTTCCTGCTGAGACACTTAACGTGGGACTCATTTGTGCTCTTGTTCTAGTTCTGAAAGGTCAGGTGATCTGGAATTACCTAGAAGTGGGCTAGGGGATTCCATTGGCTCGAGGGCGTGTGAGCATGTGAATGTGCGTGTCAGAGCAGGACTGAATGTGAGTGTCCTGTATGTCTTCATGGGCTTCCTCAGTGGGGAGGACTCCCCCTGCCCCCCAGGGGAGTGTCCCTATCAACCTGAAACCAAGTTAGGGGTTGTGCTGCCCGTGTGTGACCCCACTTCAGGGTGATTGATCCTTGATTGGGTTTCACCCCAGTTCTCTCTCCACGATTGCAGTGCTTTATCTAAGGCTTCTTTTTCTTTCTCTTGTCTTCATCATCGAAGATCTTTTAAGCTTCCTAATAGTTTTGAGAACCTCCTAGCCCCTTGCTTTACACTTGTTACTGGTTGTCTATCACTCAAGCCCCCAAAAGCTCACAGACTCACATTCATTGCTGCCTCTGTTGGTCCATGCCGAAAGTTTTTAGCCCTGGGTTGTTCCGCCCTTGGCTCATTTCCCTTTCCTAGGCCTCATTTTCACCCCTCCTGGAAGTGGCCTGTAAGAATCCAGGGTACTGGCATGAGGGTTTTACCTCGGGTCACACATTTGGACTCCAAAGAGGTTTGCTTGTGAAAGTTGGACCAGGAATCGCTTTCCTACAAGTTTTATTGAAGGTTTTAAAAGATTTGTGTTCATTTTCCCTGCAGAGTCCCGGGGTGGGGGCCAAAGAATTTTGCTGAAATTCCCAGGCAGCTTTTGCTCACAAACACGCGTGAGCAGCACGGGGCCAGCACATGTGGTCCTAGGAGAGCACTATTTCTGAATAACTTGTATTGTCAGCAGCTGAGGTCTCTGTTATGAATTCCGAGCTGTACATCAGATGCCCCAGCAGAATCTGGATGGTGCAGATGCGGGAAAGAGGAGGGCTTGTATTTCTAGTCCAGATCTTCTTCCCTGGCAACTTGGAAAGCTGGAAGACATCACCCATGTTGACTCACACATTGTGGAATGAATGATGTAGGCCAGGTAGGCACAGCCTGGCACCGTCAGCCTTAACGTAGCCTTAAACAGCTGGAGGAAGCATCAGGTTCCAGGATCTCAAGTGAATGACTTAAGCCTTTGGAGACTCTGACTCAGTTCACGTCAGATCCAGCGTGTTTAGACACAAAAAGTTTTCCAAGATCATCTCTCAGACTTGGGACAGAGCAATAGTATAGTGGGTAGGGTGCTTGCCTTGCACATGACTGACCCGAGTTCAATCCCTGGTACCACATATGGTCCCACAAGCACTGCCAGGAGGGATCCCTGAACACGGAGCCAGGTGTAAGCCCTGGGTACCTCCAGGTGTGGCCCCAAACCAGGACAAAACAAAAATTATCTCCAAGGCTAATATTCTGTGTAGCACTCTGGGCTTTGCAGGCCCAGAGCAGTGGGACATCTCAGAGCTGATAGAGATGGAGACAGTGACCAGGGAATGTTCAGAGAACAGCTTTCCTGATTGAGCCTCCTTCCTCTTTGTTCCTGTCTCTCTGTTCTGATGCTGTTGGAAGGAAAGGAGCACCGCAGAGACGCTTTGAGTCTTCTGCAAATAATGTGTCTGTGGCTAAGCAGAGAGGGACAAACGTTCCCCTTACTTGGGGTGGGAGTTTGACTCACACCCAGAGGTGCTCAGAGGACCATTCACAGGGCTGGGGGTTGAACTGGAGATGACTGCATGCAGGGCAAGCACCTTACTTCCTGTACTACTTCTCTGGGCCATAAATCTAAATCCTCAAGAGAGCTCACAAACTTTCTTTTTGGGTGTGTGTGTGGGTGGCGGGTGTGATTTGGGTCGAACCTGGTGATGCTCAGAGGTTACTCCTGACTCTACACTCAGGAATTATTCCTGGCAGTGCTCAGGAGACCATAGGGGATGCCGGGAATGGAACCCAGGTTGGATGCATGCAAGCAAATGCCCTACCTGCTTTTACTATCACTCAAGCCGCAGATTTTTATTTTCCCGGTGCTGGGATGGGTGCCATCATGCATGCAGGCTGAGGGGTCTCCCACAGCACCACTTCAGGGCCATCACGGGAGTTTCCGGCAAGGGCAGCTGGGACTTGTTCTCTGTGTATCTGGTGGGCCAGCACCTCTCACCAGCCCCACCTACCAGAGGAGCATTTGAGTTGAAAGGATCTTAAACAACTCTCTGAGGCTATGAGGACCAGTCTCTGGGTGAGGCTGCACACCAGACCCAGCCTGTTTGACCCCCATGACCCCCGCATTCACCATGCTCACCCCTTCAGGGCTGCCAAGGACCTGGCGTGTCACAAGTGCCAGCGGGTTCGCCGTGGCCGTTCCCACATGCAGAGTGAGACTCAGGCATCGATAGGCCTCGCACCATTTGCAGCCAGGCTGCTGGGAGCCGCTGGCTGGGCTGCCTCCCTGCGTTGTGGTTTTGTGTCCCATTGCTGGGGGTGAGAGATGTTGCCAAGCCCTTTCTTTGCTCAGGTCGCCAAGGTAATGGAGCACACACATTCCCATCTGGCTGCTCCCCCAGGGTCTGGGGAGCCGTGGGGGGTCGTCCTGCAGTGCAGAGCCAGGATGGGGGAGGGGGAGCTGGAACCACCCTCACTGGTGTGAGTGATTGAGGAGACTCTGGTCTGCGGCTGCAGCAGAAGGGGGAGCTCTGACTCATCACCCAGGGGGGTCCCCAGAGGGGACGTGTGCTTGGTTGGGGTCCCCGCAGCATGAAGAGTCTGGAGAATCGGAAGGCCCTCCAGGGGGAGCCCCTGGGAAATGGGTGTCCAGGGTGAGGAAGCGCATGTGCTCGCAGGAGTGCCCTCTTGTATCTTTGAAGTCTGGCCCCATCCTGCCCTCCTTGATGGCCCCAGGTGCGAGCTCTGTCTCCCTGGCTTCTAACTCCCCGGCAGCTGCGCTGTCCTCCTCCTGCACCTGTGTTACTGAGTTTCAGGGGATGCAGAATGGGTTCCTGCTGGTACTTGGGCTTTCCATGGTCTCGGCCAGTGTCTCCGAGGGACGCCTGGTTTCTCCAGTGGCTGCGCTGGTGCAGCAGTGGCGCTGACCCACACGGATTCCCTGAGGGACCGGACAGTCTCCCCTCGGCAGCCAGTCAGGAGACGGACGTAGGGTGCCACAGCTGTGACCTGGAGTCCCACAGTGGAGGGGCGGGTGCCACAGACCTCTGGCTCCCTGCCAGCTTCCCTGCCTCCAGGGACACAGGAGGCTGCCTGGGCCTGCCCCTCGCTGCTTGCTGTGAAAGGGACACTGTTCAGAGGGTGTGCCCGGCACACCCCAGGCCAGGTGGGGAGCAGCGTGTGGGCGGCGTGGCCCTCAGTGCTTTCTTGTAGTCAGAGTCGCCCTCCCCCACCTCGGGCTCTTCTGGGAACTCAGTGGTGGTGATATGAGGCTGAGGTCTCGTTCCCGAAGTGTCTGAAACACTTTGCAGTGAGAAACGCTAATACGTTGTGAAGCTGAACAGCGGGAGATGGCTTTGCCGCTGGCCACGGCGCTGATGCCTTTCATGCCGTGTTAGCCGCCCTCTCCCCTTCTGTTCCAATGACCTGTCTCCATGCTGACATCCTGGCAGACGGAGGCAGAGTTACATCCTGTCATATGTACAGATGGGGGGCGGAAGTAATTAGGAGTGAGGTGTCCCAGAGCAGGGCCCAGGCTGTGACCTGGGCCACCCAGAGTTCTCAGCATGTCCCCACTGTGTGACTTGGGGCAGGTCTGAGTTGAGTGAGCCTCCCTTGGCACTGGGGCCTCCCTTTCACAGTAGCACTGTAGCACTGTTCTCCCATTGTTCATCGATTTGCTCGAGTGGGCACCAGTAACATCTCCGTTGTGAAGCTTGTTACTGTTTTTGGCGTATCGAATATGCCAGAGGGAGCTTACCAGGCTCTGCTGTGCGGGCATGATACTCTCTGTAGCTTGCCAGGCACTCTGAGAGGGATGGTGGAATCGAACCCAGGTCATCCACATGCAAGGCAAACACCCTACCCGCTGTGCTATTGCTCCAGCCCTGCCTCTCAGTAGCAGGGATAAAATATAAGGTCCAGGGCATAAGCTGGTTCATTGAAAGGAGTTGGCCATTAAAAAGCCCTGGGGAGGATATCGAATGGCAGCCATAATGGTACTGTTGGGAGGCACTCTGAGACCCTGCATGGGCATCCCCTGCTATCTGGAAGGGAATTCAGAGCTAAGTTGGAGGGCAAGTGTACGTGCCCCACACAGGGAAGTCCAGCTCAGCTCCCTGAAACCACTGGCTCCTTTGGGCACCACGGGAATCATCTGAACACCTCCGGATGTGGCCTTCACAATTAAAAAAAATGAAAAACAACAAAGCTGACTTGGATTTCCGTTAAAGACCACCAGAGAGCCCTATAGCCCTTGGGGCCAAGTGAGCAGTATAAAGGCTGTTTCGATGTCACCCACAGATTTCTCTTAGACCTTTTCAAAAATCCGTTTGTGTTTGCAGTTAGGTTTGTAGGTGTTCCTAAGGGGTTGCCAGCCTGCCTTGAGGACATGGGTTTCTTCTCGAGAAGGGGGTTTGCTGTTTCGCATCACACCATCACACA